GCCCGCAGCAGGCAGAGCCCCCTGGTGGCATGTGGCTCTGGCTGAATCCCAGGATCTGCATGTGGCAGCACAGAGCCCACATGGCCCAGCCTGCTGACGCCTGCCTTTGAGCCAGACCAGGTTGGCTCTGTGGCAGCTTGTGGGGCTCCTGGCATTGCAGGAAGGAGCCATGTGCCATTGAGCCAGGCTGGCTTCCTGCCTCCATGTGGGGCTTCCAGTACTCCAGTGGGGAGCCACATGTGGAGGCATGGAGCCAGGCTGGCCCAATGTCACATAACTCCAAGCAACTCCCAGTCTGTGTGCCATCAGGCTGGGTATACTCTGTACCTCCATGTGTGTCTGGAGTACTGGAAACCCCACATGGCAGCATGGAGCCAGACCAGCCTGGCCTGGCTTGATGTCATGGTTGGGGGGGGGGCGTGTTGCAGGGGACTCCTCACCCACCCACAAACCCCATACCCACCCATATACTCCTCACCCACCCACAAAACCCACATCCACCCCTACATCCTGCAGGCAGGAGCTCCCTTCTCCATTCACCAGCTGTCCAGTTATGCACCATCATGCTTGGTGCTTCCACATGGGGCTCCCAGCTGAGGTGCTGGGAGTCCCACAGAGGTGGAAGCACAAAGACTGCCCAGTCCAATGACATGTGACCTCTGAAAGCCCACCTCCCACCTGCTTTCAGAGAGGCAGCCATTGGCCAGTAAGAATTGATTTTTGAAGGGTCCCCACAGGCCATATAAAATAGCCTGACTGGCCATATGTGTCTGTGATACATCCTCAGTGAAACAGTGTAAAAATAGCCAGAGACAAATTCAGGAGATGTGTTTATTATATTAGACTCCAAAGAGCTGCAGAGCCTAAAACCAAGACCACAGATTTGCTTCTCTGTGCCTGTCCCAAGGTCTTCAATCTGAAGCTAAGGTAGGTTGTAGTGTGCAGTCCTGGTACCTAAACAAACCACAAGCAGAAGCAATTACATTGGAAATTACTTCACTGCGTACTCCTTAAAGCTTCAAAATACTAAATCTGTTGCTTTTACGCACTCCTGTGGTCAGTTTTGATGGAAACTTTGTTTTCCCACAGAAAAAAACTTCTAGTTTAGCACACCATATTCTTAGAATTCCATTGTACATTGTAGCCACTTCACAAGCATTGGGAGACTCACTGCCTAAATTAATTCCTTGCTGTACTTGCCTAACCTTTTTTTGTATACAGGATAAACATCATGTTATGCCTGAGGTTTGGCAATGGTGTTGGTATTTTCTTTCAGGGAGAAAAAGAAATATATTATTTTTTAGATATATGCCAAACAGCACAAGCTGAGATGGGACTGTATTTACTTTGAGATGACTGTTTGCTTCTTTAATTATATGTACCACCATTTTGTTTCCAGTTTGCATGCTATATGGTGGCTGATGGGGAAAAAAGACATCTTTTATAAATGGGATAATGCTAGATACTTTTTTCTGTGGGACCTTGTGGATAATTTGAGAATGATTATAGGAAAAAATACTAGCACTTTATGGCATATCATGTAGCAGTAACAGTGTAGCCAAAATAGTGTGGAACTCAGCACTGGCTGCAAAACCACTAATAAAACCACTGGTTGCATAAATGCTTGGAATATTAGCTCATACTGAGCTCCCTGACACTGTTTATTCTCTTAGCACTGTTGGCTTAAAGCTAGCTTGGGTATGTACAGACAACATTGACTGCAGTGGTAGCATAGCTTTAATGATCTTATCATATTGCTTAGCTGGGTTTTTAATAGGTGAGATTCTTTTTTGGACTGGCACCAGTTTTAAATCACTCTAGCTGCACTGGCTTCAGGGAAATGACTGTGATGGAATGAAGCAGGTCCTCTGAGTTGATATGATGGTAGATAGTGTGTAATGCAGTGATGGCCAGCTCATCTGGCCCTGCAGAGCTGTAGCAATTAAAGCTTTTTCCACCTGCCATGCTAACATTCTTCCCAACCAATGGAGAGTTTCATGGGCTGGATGACATGTCTCTGCATGCTGAATCTGGCCTGTGGGCTGGATCTTGGCCACTCCTGGTGGAATGCAATGATATTTTGAGACTTTTTTCAAATACAAATATTACTAATAACAATAAGGGGGAATGCTTTTTAAAGCTCTTTCCAGCCTCCCATCTTCCCTTTCAAGAAATGTGTAGAAACATGAATACGTTAATGATTTTGTAAATTGATAAACATATTTTGATTTAATCCCTTCTCCATATGGATATGCTGAAAGAGGACTAATAGTTAGAACAGGACAGTAGTTAGAAATCAGAAAGCCCTGTTAGATTTCGCTCTCTTCCTCAAGAACTTAGCAGATGTTAAATTGAATTCTACTGGGCGTGTCTACACATTTGCTTTAATGTGCAGTAGACCATTTTACTGCACATTAAAGCATTATGTAAAAAACCGTGATGTTATGCAAATGCACAGTAAAATAGTCTGCTGTGCATTAACTGTCACTAAAAAGTGTGCAAATGCACTACTGTGCATTAATTTAGTACTTCACACTGGAGGTACTAAATTAAATGGGCATTAGAAAAGGCACATTAATGCTTGTGTACACGCACCCACTGGATAGTAAATCACGGCACAAAGTGGCCCTACCAAAAACAGCTAAATTTGGCTCTTCTTTGTTTCCAGTTGTTTTTACAGGCCACAGTTTCTTTGCAATGAAGAACTTTGATATCTGTAGAAACATCTGGATTAGAGTCAGCAACAGGTGGTCTGTTAGCTCTCCATGAGCATAAATTCTTGGAGCAAAATTTGGAATCTGTTGACTTGCTACAATAGATCTTCCCCATAACTTACCACCATGAAAGGTAACTGGCATTCTTCTGGTTGGGACAGTGATGCATTAACCTTAATTACAGCTGAAGCTATTTTTTTAACGGCAATTTGGAGCCTTTCGTGGTGCTTGGAATGAGATGGCTGTATTGGGACTTTACCATGAAAATGATGGCTTCCTTTGTGGGTAGCTTAAGAACTGAGCTGGTTGGAATAAGCAGTCAAAGTATTTATTAATATAATAAACAACCATCAATTGTTTTGTTTTACTTAATTTTGAGCCTTTTAGATTCAGAGACCCAAAGGAACATTAAACATATAGTAAACTTCTTATGACCAAAAAGGATTAAACGTAAATGTCTTAAACAAAAGGGAGCAGGGGATTTAAGCAGTTATATTTTCTGTTTGTCCTTCCTTCATGCCAGACCCCAGGGTGACAATCTCAGGCAGCATATTTTTTGACATCAAAGAAGATTCAGCTACTTTATTTCAGACTAAACATGATGCAAGGGAAACTTATGACTAGGAAATTCAAGCAAAACTACTGCATTTCAGTTCAGTCAGATGCTTTGGGGCAAAGGTAAGTAATACCAAAGATGATATTTTGAGTAGTACCTTGGTGACTTAGGAGCCTAAGGGCATGTCTACACTGCAAAGGCAGCTTGTCATGGTTGGCTGACCCACAGCACATCCTGCTCACCTCTGCTGGCGCACACACTTCAAACCTGGAAATACACTAGTGAGAATGCACCAGAATCATCCCCACTAAGTTATTCTCAAATGCTCTAGACATTTGCTCTCAAGCATGCCAGAGACCAAGATCTTGAGAACGACTGCTTTGAACCACCAATATTGTCCTCACCTACCTATTTCTAGGTTTGGAAATTGCCTACAGGGAGAAATGATTAGAATGTGTGTGGGAATGGCCTGGCCAAAGCATACTCTCCACCAGGGTTATGACATACCCTGCATCTACCAGTGGGTCTTAGGCTCATTAGTCACTGAAGAAATTTGAAACTTTTACTAAATATATAGGCAGGATGTTCTGTAGACATTTCTCCAAAGATCATGACCTGGAGATATTAAAAGCAGAGGGAGTGATTGCTCCCTACAGAGTTGTTCAAAGCTGGAACAGGTCATCAGACCTAGCAGCTGAGAAGAGAAAATGAGACACCTTCCCTGTCTCCCATAAAGAGAATATATCACCTGAATAGTCTAAGCCAGTGGGAGCCAACCTTTTTGGCAGGAGTGCTACAAATTAAGCCTACACCCCCCCTAGTGCTACTCCAATCCCTTTCTTTTGTTTTCTGCTCCCTGTCCTGTGCTCTCTGCATGAACTGTCATGTGCCACACACACAGAGCACAGATTGGCCACCCCTGTTCTAAGCCATCTCTGACCTAAACGCTAAAGAGTAAGAATTTCAATGTTACTCCAAACCATGGGTTTCCTTCAGTGGGGTATAAAGGAGTTAATTCAGGTGTTGTGGTATAAAGAATCTACCAGACCTCATTATTTCTGTTGAACACTGAAGGAAAAAATATCATATATCAGTCTAGGGGTTTGCCTGAGTAGAAACTACAGAAGGGCCTCCAGTTTTGATGCATTACGATTTATTTATGTAGTGCTGTGGGTGTGTCTCATCCTAATAAGAAAAGTCCCTGAATCAGAAGGTTTACAAATGTACTGTATGCAAGAACAAAGATAAAGATTTACAAGAGAGCAAACTATACAGGGGACTGGTGTGGCTAAGAGAATAGTAAGCTGGCAAAACAGAGGAGGAGTGCAAGAGCCTGATGAGCTTTTGTTTTTGGCTGTATTAACAGGTGTCCTCTTATATTAATCCCACAAGAAATTAATATTAACACTTGTATGTTTGCATGTTTTCCCAATTTCATGAGCAGGATCAACAATGGCAATAAGCAGCCTCATGGCAGTAAATAATGGCAGCTGAAAGACATGGAGGAGGACTCTAAGGATTGCTATTGCCCTCTGTAGCAGTGCACTAAGGTGCCTGCTACTGAGAGAGCCAGGATAATCGCTCAGGTGCCAGTTGCTGAGGCAACTAGTGGGAAATAATGACCCACCCCTGCCTAGCCAGCTGATGAGAAGGGGCAGGGCCTTGCTCCTATATAAAGCACAGGCAGGAAGCCAGAGGGAATTCCCTGCTAGCAACCAGAGAAGAAGGAGCTCTCAGTTAAGGAAAGAGAAGAGAAGCCAGATGTGGAGGTAGCGTCTGCCACTGCGGTGGGATGGAGCAACCCTGGTAGGCGTGAGCATAATTATAGCCAGGCAGCTTATGTTTACGTTATAGCCAAGAGGCTTGTGTTTGTGTTTGCTATTTGTTACATGGGTGGTTTGGGTGAGGCTATTAGGGGTTGGAGGAGGCCTCATAGGGGACTCACAGTAGAGTGGGGACCCCAGTGCCAGTGAGGGCACAGCATTCGGGGTACATAGACCCCAGCCCCAGAGAGGGCAGTTGAGAAGCCCCAGAGAAGGGGGCATTGCTGAGAAGCCCAGTGTGGGTGTGGTGAGCCCTGAGAGACAGGGCGGCGTTACAGAGAAGGCCCTGAGAGACAGGGCGCGGAAAGAGAGACGGGATTGCAGAGAACCCGAGCGCCAGAGAGGGCGTGGAGACAGAAAGAGACAGAACAACGTCAGTCACATCTGCGAGGCTTGGGGCGTGGTATTGGGGTGGTAGGAGCCACGCATAGCCCATAAGGCTGGGGGCGTACGGAACACCCGAGACAGGAGAACTGTGACCAAGAAGAAGGAAGGCAGCCTCCCTATAAAAATATATAAAACCAAAGACGTGGCGGACGAGAATCGGAGGGCAGCTTGGCACGGTAAAGGAGGCGGCAGGGGAGAGCACAGCGACCCTGACCGCCCTCCTGTTACACCCTCTACAGAAGACTCCTCCTGGCAGAGATACATCACAGAAGAATATGTAGAATCACAAATGGAAGAGACCAAGACTAGGAATTCTTCATTTGGGTGGCTTTTGAATCTAAGCCAGTCTCAGTTCCTTCCTCCCTGTGTCTGCATAACAGCACCTGATGCTTCTAGTGTATTTATTCCTGTCTGGGAGGCTGAGCCTGAATACAGGAGATGTGTTGGACAGCAGTAATCTACAGAGCTAGAGACACAGACAAAAAGCCTGAGCCTGAATTGATTCAATCTTTGCAGGTTAGTCTAACCTGGCTAAGCTAAATCAGTTTTGTAACCAGACAGACATCCCAGACATACAGGCACGTGCCTGCAGTGGCTCAGGCTAGAATCTGGGGGGTGCTAGAGCAGCCCTCCCTTCCTTTGCATAGAGCTGAGCGGGGGGAGGGGAGGGAGAATGGCCAGGCCCTGGCAGGATGCTATGATTAGGGAGGGGTTCCCCCCACTCCTGACCAGTCCAGCAAGAAATGTTTATCACCACTAACTCAGTGTTTACTAAGAAAACAACAGAGGGACATGACCTATCTGTTGATTCTGCCTTTGTCCCATCTGACACAGCTTGGAGGTAGCCGGCATGTGGTCTGCTAGCTAATGCTGAGTGGTATCTGTGAGGGATGGGGGAATGCATGCTTAGCAGAGAGTAGGGAGGGGAGTGGGGGAGCAGAAGCCAGGCAGATGCCTGCAGAGGCTGCTGGAGCTGCAGCTAGGGAGCAGAGGGGAGGGGCCAGCCCTGCTGTGGAGCAGACAGCCCTGCTCAACCCAGAGAGCATGCTGGGATGCTGGGGGAGTCTGATTTAACTTAAACCAGCAAGGGGTCTGGGACAGACATTGCATAAACCAGTTTGAGCCAAATCAGTTAAGTCTGATACTACATTCAACCAGGTTTATCTCAAACCAGTTTCAGCCATTTTCAAACTGGCTTATGTGCACAGAACATCTGTTCTGTTACATGTGATCAGAAACTGGTTTAAACTTAAACCAGTTTATGTGTAATGTCTGTCCCTAGCCCAGAAGAGAAGCTGTGAATGCTAATGCTGGGTCCCTCTGTGCTGAAGATCTCGATGAGTAATGTAGTACTTTTGTTGTTCATTCAGATAGTTAGCAATGGATTCATACTGAAAACACTTTCTGCTACCAACTGTATTTTTCTTGAGAAAATTTCAAATCAGTTATCAAAGTTAAAGTGTTTCCCATACATCCAAAAGATTACCAGTGTCATTAATAAATATGGGTGTGATAATTTTTTCCCCTATATTCAGAAGAGCAATGACTAGAAGTGCTGCTTCTTATATACTAGCCTATATTCAACTCTGGATATTAATGCTTCTCTACACCATCCGTTCTTGTTAGCATAACATTAAATGGATCATATTCAAGCCCAGCTTTCATAATACATTACTGCAATCTTATGAAAAGTGTAGACTATTGTGAAAATGTAGCTCTTGTGCCTCTGTCAATAGCAGTATCATGGGCCACAGACATGAATATCATCCCTACCTGAGCAGAAGAAGAGAGCAACAGAAGGTAAAAAATGGAAAAATCGAATGAAACAAAGCAGTTTTTAAAAATAAATAAATATGAAGGAATCTAATTGGGATATGACAGTTCCTGATTTAGGCAGAGGGTTGCTTTGGATGCCAGTCAATATAACTGGCATGGCTGCCTCGGCAAACCACTCCCCTATATTTTTGTCCTCACAAGTTCAATCTGACTTTCACGGTGAAATACAGGAATGCTGTTGTGGGGAGTGTCTCGGGCAAGTGCTGTAGGGATAACAGAAGCTCGGGAAGTGGGAATTAAAAGGGACATTTTTTACTGTCTTTGCCATAGATGTATCATGCCACTTTATTCCTCAGCACTTAACAATTGAGGTCTTCAAGTTACTTCAGAAGGTAAATGAATTATACAGCTGTATCCAGGTACTTCTTACATTCCCCTTTACAGTTCCTGAGCATCTTATAACATAAATGAATTTGTCCTTGAAAAGTCTCTGAGAAGGACGGAAGTGAGATTATTTTACAAAGGAAAAGCTGAACTCTAGAGAGTCTGGGTACCTTTTCAGTCTCACAGGAAGTACATGACAGGATCTGCACCTTTGGTCCCTGAATCAAAAGCCTTTACTTGTGCTTGTGCTTTAACCACAAGACCATCCTTCCTTTCTGTGCTGGTGGGCCAGCCTCCACAAAGAAAGGTGCAGAAACCTCTCTAAGTCTCTTTGGTTCACAAATGCTGTATCCATCCATAGGTAGCATAGGGGCTACCATCATCATGTGCCTGGGAGGATGTCTTGTACCTTAAGTTTCAGGCACAATGTTTCCTAGAGCTGGCATACTTCTATGTTCCATTTGCCAGAGTGGGATGTGGGCAATAGGTCTGAGCCAAATTCTTTATAGGCAACCAAATGTAGCCATTTGCTAATTAGCATGAAAACACAACCGTTCAGAGACTAACCATTTTCCCAGAAAGCCCAGTATCATTTAGTATTTGGGCCTTTCAGGAAACATTCCATGCATTACAACAGACCTGCAAGGGTCTGCAGAGAGTGTGTGTGAGAGTGTGTGTGTGTGTGGGTGTGTGTGTGTGAGGAGGTGGCGGTGGCTGAGTGGAGCCGGGCCGGGTGAAGCCCAGCCCCCCAGGGAGCCACGCGAACAGGCTGCACAAACAGGCATGCTTCTCTGCCGGCGCGTGAGTTAGCGCAGAGTTCACACGGGAGGGCCCTGGACCCTGCCTGCGCACCCCCCCAGGGTAGACAGCCCCAGCCGTAGCCAGCCTACCAGAGGCATGACACGGATGGGCACGCACCGCACCCCGAGGGTCCCTTCGGGCTCTGCAGCTCCCCCCTCTGGCACCTCAGAGATGGCCACCCAGATGGAGCCCCTGGTTCCGGGCTCCACGCAGACGGAGCCCCTGGCTCTC